AGAGTCCTGATCAATATTTATTCCTCAATTAACATCACCTTTCCTTTGGTGAGAATTCACTGTGTACATATTAGTTGCCATATTTCCTACATCGCAATGATGATTATACTATTACCTATTGAAAAGGAAAATGATGAGTTTCTCATAGACACCTATAAAATTCTAACAGGAGTAAATACAGTAACAATGTTCTCGATGACTGGGAAATCCAGAGCCAGGATTCACAGTCTAAGGTAAGAGGTAGATCATTTAGAAGATAAAGAGAAATCTTTTCACCCAGAGGGTTGTGAGCCTATGGAATTCTCTGCCACAGAAAGTGGTTGTGGCCAAAGCATTGTATGTTTTCAAGAAACAGTTATATATAGTTTTGAGACCTAAAAGGATCAAAGGGTATGGAGAGAAAGCAAGCATAATGAGTTGGATGATCATATTGAGCAGACTCAAAGGGCTAAATGGCCTAGTCCTGCTTCTATTTTCTATGTTTTTATATTTCATTGGTGGTTGCTGGTTATGAAAAGCTCTGTGTAAGTGCACCTTTTATTATACATTTTCCTAAGTTCTAAGTTCCTACCATCCTACACCCTTGATGCCAACTCCCAAAAAGTTAGTTTGCTTTATTTTTTCTTTCCCATTTTTCTTCTCCTTTTTAATGTATTCACATGATGTGGTGGTCACTAGCCAGGCCAGTATTTGTTGTCCATTCCTAGATTCTCTTGAGAAGCTTGTTGGTGGGCTGCCTTCTTGAACCATTACTGCTGCCTTTCCCTGTATGCTACTGGGAAACATTACAACTACCTGTTCCTTGTCACAAAATTCAACAATTGACCATTGATTGGCACCACATCCACAGACATCCACTTCACCACTGTCACTCAGTAGCAGCAGCATATGCTATATAGGATGCACTGCAGAAATTCACCAAGACTCCTTAGACAACACCTTCCAAAACCACGACCACTCCCATCTAGAAGTACAAGGAGCTTAGGTGTATGGGAATACCACTACCTGCTTACCCGCCTTCAGGCTAATCACCATCTTGACTTGGAGATATATCTCCATTCCTTCAGTGTTATTTGAAACTTGGTGCTCTCTCCCCAGTCGCATTAAGGGCTTCAGATCAGAAGGGACTGAGGAAGGGTCACTTGACCCAAAACATTTACTCTGATTTCTGTCCACAGACACTGCCAGACCTGCTGAGCTTTTCCAGCAATTTCTACTTTTGTTTGTGGTTTTCCTCGACCACCTTAGATCAAGCAGGTTGTGCAGTTCTCTAGATGTAAAGAGGATGTAGCAGCAAATCTACTACATGGTGACTCTGGTAAGCTGCAGATACAACACGGTGAGCAATGCTGCAGATTTGATTTAGCTATCTCCTGGAACATGCTGTCTGCAGGGGAGGTCTGAAAATGTTTATCTGCATCTTCAGACACTGATGTGAGACACCTTCTCATACAGATAGCCAGCAAAAGAGAAGATTTGAACATGTCAGGACCTTACATAGTCAATGGCAAAGACATTTCAGACCTGATAACGGACATGCTGCAGCTGAAGAGTTAGGAACCCCCTGAAGATGGAAAATTAGTTGCTCCAAAGCAGATACAGACTGCATTATGTGGCAGTGACCTATGGGGGCAATCTGGAGTCAGGTTTCAGCTGGAGGCTCAATGAGCAAATTTAAAATCCCTGATGGACAAGGGAATTTTCTCTTCAAAAGGCACAGTATTACAGACTGGGAAACCAAAAAGAATGAAACTCCTTTCAGATCAGATTGAGCATTGTTGCCATAGTGAATGGGTAGCACATAACGTGCCTATATCAGGGGAAATCAAAGGCTACAAAAGCAATCTAAACCAAAGTTGCAGACACAGAATATTGTGAAGCCAGAATTAAAGTGACAAAAGGGCATATGAGAAGCTTAAGCTGCCCTAGTTTAATAGAATGAGGATGTAAGGATATTTCATTAAGGCCACGAAAAAGGTTGGATATCCTTCATCAAAGTTGTTAAAAAAAGGTGGGCAGCATTTATTTAAATGAAAAGGTGCATGAGAATCATCTGGAAAAAGCCCATAGAAGAAACAGGAATCGTTAATGGAGTATAGACAGTTGGTAACATCCTGTAAACAGTATTAAATAAGCAGGGTTGATTTCTTAGAGATGCAAATAGCAGGGGTCATTTAGTTATACATTGATTAAAACAGACATTATTTATTAAAGCCGCAGTGGGATTTAGTCAGTAAAGCAGTTAAGGAAATGAAAATCATTTATTAAAGCCATAAACAATAGGATTCATCCTGTGAGGCAGCAGGAAATTAGAAATTGTCCATTTTACCTGCTAAAAGTCAGAATCCTCCCATTTTAGCCACCTAGGAACAGGAATTTTCCATTTTCACCAAAAATGTGGGAAAACCCTTCATTACAACAGCAACACCTCTGTTATCACAAAATAAAAATCTTTCAATCAAGGAAAATAGTTACATTTAGAAGACATGTTATCATAAATAATGCTCCAAGGAACATTTAATTTCAGAGATGTATGAAATAAAGCACAGAATTAGACATTTTGGACAAAACAAATCTTAAGAAACAGAATAAATCCAAAATTGGACACTAAATCAGAAGCTGAACAAGTAAATATAAATCAACATACATATGGTATTGTAACTGGTGGTGTTATAGTTTTCAAGGCATGAAAGAAGAAACAGATTTTTTTTTTCCCCTTTATTCATTCATGGGATGAGGGTCTCACTGGCTAGGCAGCCTTTATTGCCCAGAATGCAGTTAAGAGTCAACCACATTGCTGTGGGTCTGCAGTCACATGTAGACCAGACAAGGATGGCAGTGTCCTTTCCTAAAGGACATTAGTGAACCAGATGGGTTTTTCCCCGACAATCCACAATGGATTCATGGTTATCATTAGATTCTTAATTCCAGATATTTATTGAATTCAAATTCACCCATCTGCAGTGGCAGGATTTGAACCCAGGTCCCCAGAACATTTTCTGGCTCAACAATCCAGCAATAATACCACTAGGCCATTGCCTCCCCTGTGAAAATAGTTGTGAAGAAGTATTGAAAGCCTTTGGCAAATATTTCAATCTCAGAAAAGTAAAATTCTTGAAGAAGTAAATTTTAGGAGAAGAATTTAGCATCTAGTGAATCCATCGATAATTTAAATAATGATCTCTACAGATGGTGCATACAACACCATGGAAACTGCTGCTGAAAAGAGAGAACCAATATCCGAAGATTCAGGGTACTGCGCAGAAGAAATTGCCCGTTTCAGCAGAGAAGATATCCTCTACAAAGAAATTCTGAGAGATTAAAAGTCTTTTATCTTAATGGGGCCTACAAGCCTAAAACTGTCTACCCAACAATCTACCAGTTTTCCAACTCCAAAGAGAATATATGCCAGACGGATGATAAAACCTCCAGATCACATAAGTTTGTAAAATCAGAGACAGGCAGGAGATATAGTAGGGGTAAATTTTAATTATGTGTACAAATATATAATAAAGTGGAAAAGCTTGTGGGGAGATGTTGTATATGGATCAAAAAGGATCTCAAAAGTTATTACCGAAAAGTGTCATAAGCACCGTCCACATTAAGGATGCCATATAGTCCTGCGGGTAGAATGGTTTAGAATCTCAGTGGATCAAGGCCTAAAATCCAGGTCCTCTTTGTAACAATATCTATCATATCAACATAACCAGTAATGCATTGCTAACATGCAATAAATTACTTTTTATATAAGAGAAGAGCATTTTCTAGTGAGATCAGTTCGTGGCTTTCCAACCTGATCACATTAGACCAAGCAGACCCTGGAGATATTTGCACTTCAGAGGTGCAGACTCGGATTAGCTGCACAGACAGCAGTGTTCAACAGTGATATTATTGAATAGTGAAACAGGCTTGAGGTGTCAAGTGGCATACTCTTGTTCCTATTTCCCATGTTCTTATGAGGTCAGGTGATGCTGGGGGGTTAACTGTGATGTAATCATCAACCAGTGTACAATTATGTAAATGTTTCCTATCTGCAATTGGGTTCAATTTTATCAGGTTCCATTGAAGAGTCATTAGACTGGGAACATTAATTCTTTCTCTCTACAGACCTGCTGAGCTTTATCAATACTTTCTGCTTTTATTCCAATTTTGTTAGACATCTGTTCTTTTTAGTTAGTTCAGACTGCTGTTTTTATGCAAGGAAGCTTTTATTCCTTTTCTAACATTTTTCCCCGAATTGAGCTTATTTCCAATTCTTACATATTACTTCTCAAAGAGTTAAAATTTCAGCACTCCTTGTATTATTATGGGGAATCATCGTGGGGAAGCAATGGCCTACTGGAATTATCACTGCACTGTTAATTCAGAGACCCCCGATAACATTCTGGGGACCCGGGTTCAAATTCTGTCACGGCAGATGGTAGAATATGAATCTAATAAATATCTGGAATTAAGAATCTAATGATGACCGTGAATCCATTGTTGTTTACAAGAAGCAAACCCATCAGGTTCACTAATGTCCTTTACGGGCATCCTTACCTGGTCTGGCCTACATGTGATTCCAGACCTAAGCAATGTGGTTGACTCTTAACTGCCCTCTGGGCAATTAAGGATGGGCAATCAATGCTGCCTAGCCTAGCCAACGACGTCCTCATCCCGTCAATGAATAAAGTAAAGGCCTATGCTCCAATGTCAGAATTGCCACTTTGTCTCAATCGCAGTATACAGATTTTCAAACTGAGACTTGATACTACTGAAATGATTTATTGAAGAATGAAATTTAATGATTTATTTATTTATCACACATATTCTACACTGTTTATTTTGTAAGTATCTGTATGTTGTGTACTCTGTTTTAATTTTGTTCAACAGTTTGTTTCACATCACTTTTCTTCGAAAACAGTACATTGTAGTGCAAGCTTGTTCGCTCAATGTCTCTTCCTGCTCCAGTTGGAGACAAATTACCCCATCCAACATAACCTTTCTCCTTTATCTTTCAGTACAAGCAAGTGGAACAATATATGTCTTTCCACAAGCTGCCTGCTGAAATGCGGCAAAAGATTCATGACTATTATGAGCACCGCTATCAAGGCAAGATCTTTGACGAAGACAATATTCTAGAAGAATTGAATGATCCACTTAGGGAGGTAACATATTTTTCAACACATTATCTCAATTTTATTAGCAACAATACCAATAATATATATTTTGAATATTTGGAGTGAATTTAGATCGGAGGCTGACACATTCGTGAGAGAGTTTTGCATTTGCACCATTACTTCGAATGTCAAAAAATTGTTCGAAAAAGGATTTTATCAAATGCCTATCAGACAATTATATCAATGAGCTGTGTTTTAATGCACAACCACTGAAAGAAGGATAAGATTGTTTCATATTAGATTGTACACGGTTGATAATTTTACATTTGATTGAGAATAGATCAAATTAATTTCCTCAGTATATGAAAAAAAAAGCTCATCTTATGATTAAAAATAACCCAAAAAGTCCTGCACCCTCTTCCCTCTATATTTGTGACCTGGCCAAATAACAATCAACAGCTAAAAGAATAAGACAGACCTTTAATGAAGTTCAAGCTGCAAAAAAGAACACATTGATCATGCTGTTATATGTGATCATTATTACTGTACCTCACTACCCATCATTTTCCAAGCCCTCAAAAACTTAAGGTACTTTGAAGGTTACCAATTAAGAGATGTCCCTCATTCAAAAGAAATAACTTAAGAGAATGCAGTCATCACATTAGCTCAACTGACCTGGTCTTTGTATTATTTGAAAATTGCACAGGCCTATCAATTCTCTTTCCACTTTGGCAAAACAAAGAATTTTCAACTTTGTAGTTATAAATAGTTAGTTTTTGACCTAAAAAGGACATTACCAGGGACACCCAACTGTTTTACAATGGTGAAATGTGTTCTTTCAACAGTTTAAGAATGAACCTGGCTCAATTCAGAATGTCTTCAAGCAGCTTAAAGTCAAATTCCCACCCTAGGAGCTCGTGATCCTCTGCAAGCTGCAGTGAGAGTGAATTCTTCCACTGCTTTTCATCGCCCATCCTTCAAGTCACCCAGAAACAATTCTCTCTCTTGTACACTTTGCTCACCTCTTCTTACATGAGAGTAAGTTGAGGTCACCAAATAACAGAACAAGAGTGAGAAGAACTCTAGGAATGACCTCTTAGCACCTTCACTAATTGTAATATATGGGGCTGAATCTTACAGGTTTTTTTGGAGAGCTTTTCGCCACAAGGCTGAATAAGAGTTCTCACTGAATCTTACCAAACATCCTTCATTAACAACCTACTCCAACCCCATGGTGTTTCTCTCGTCTGATCCCATTCCCATTTTACCTCTTGCCATTCCCAAAACAATTTGCTACTCAACAGATATCTAACAAAATACCGCCCACATCTTGCACGAACATTATCTTTGAAAGGATGCTGACAACGGTTGGCAATCTGCTGTTGCAGTGTAATGACACAGCAGTCACAAAGCCACGTTGCTCACTGCATGTAGCCAGTATTGCTGATACTACCTTGTACGTGGAATGCCAAACATTCACCGTAGTTACTGTTTCACTACCAGGCCATACAATTTACCTGTCCTTAACTACAGCCCATCTAAACACCCTCTTACCCATCGCTGTCTCTGATGCCCACAGGAAATCTACAACTTGTCAGTGTCCACTAGGGGAAAATCACAGGCAAACAAACAATCGAGTGAATCCACTCATGAACTTTTATTTACAGCCAGCAATAACGAACACAAAACAAAATGAATAGAGACTGCAGTTTGCACCCACAGTACAAAACAAATGCTGGCATTATGATCAACAACTATTTTACATCATGATCATCATCGATGCCAAGCTCTGACTAACTGAAACTGGGTGTCCACATGGGGGTGTGATAGAAATGAGCCACTTGGGTAATAGGGGACATGGAGGCTCTGAGGTGGCTTCTGACGACCAAGCAGAGCCCCTGGTGCTGATGGTGTGCACCACAAGCTGCATTCTGTGCCATCAATTACCGTTGTATAGACATGAAAATTGCTGGGACAATGCCCAGGGTAGGTTGGGCCAGTGTCTCTTTGATGGGCAAAAATTCACGTTCTATACCTGCAAGACACTAGGACATTGAAGCATGTGTTTGCAAACTCCATCTACATTTGATGTGCAATCATTTCTTCACCCATTTGCAATGCATGGGGAGTGTAGGTGCTTAAGGTTCACACGCTGGTCAAAGAGATTTGCACTATGCCATTAGTGCTTCCAAATTGAACACTGGTATCTCAATGATGTAGAATTTAGGAATAATGACATAAGTGGGTGGAAGGCTGCAAATGTGAGCCAAAATCATCCCATCACTTGTGAAATTTCCAAGCATGCTGTGGGATGAGGGGACCATTGTAATTTAACTATGACCATGGATTGTATTGAATCAATGGTAAGTTTCACATTTGGTATGGATCTGGGATTGAAAGGGGTTGGAGCAAGGTGGGCACTTTCTTTTTGAGTTAATATGTTGATCACTCAGTCAGTGCAGCACCTTCATCAAGTTGATGTCTGTGCTGTGATCAGGGCCATTGTGGAGCAGACTATAATGCTGCTGAAGATGCAGTCCCACTGCTGAAAGAGGTCTGGGAGCAGTCATCCAGTATCATCTACAATGAGTATACCACATCATCCTGGCATGCTGTGCTCTGTAAAAACTGCCCCAGGCAATGGAGTGATGTGATAGATGCTGAGGAGCCAGGGGAACTGAAATAGTTTTCAGGGCAGAAGGATGAGACACTGGGAAGGATGAATCTCTCCTTTGTGCATGTCAAAGCTCAGCCATGTCGAGTAATACAAGCCAGACAGGAGATGAGCGCCATCTAACATAATGAACTTTGTCTCCTACTGTCCTCCCTGCTCTGAACCCTGACATTACATTTTAACGATGCCATCTCTGCTCTTCTGTGCTCCCATACACACAATATGCATTTCAATACTGTTCTGCATAACCCTCTCCCCTCCCCATATACCTTCAGATTTCCCTGGCCATCATCCTTGTCCTCACCTCCACTTGCTACATGCCTCAGCTTCCATTCTCCCCCCAGACCCCAACCTCCCCCCTCCTACCCCTCCTCCAGCCTTGACTTCCCCACCCGTTTTGGCAGTGATACTCCCACTGTCACTATGGCCACCGCTGCACATCAGTGAATGGACACCCACCGACTGTATTTGCCCCTGGCCTCTGGCCAACTTCGATGAGCAGCCTCTGGACATTACTGATCTGACCCTGACCACTGTGTTTTCAGCCTACTGCCTGATGATACGTGATTGCCCTGACTGCTGGTCTTTTACAACTGACCATTGACCACACCCCAGACTACAGTCAGACAGATCCACTGACCGTGAGAGGTCCAAGCTGATGATAGACCATGGCTAAGCCCCTAGACATTTCGCAAGCTGTGTCCATGACTGACAGTACCAGGGCCCCCGACTGAGTGTGTTGCCCCCTTAACTGGCCTGTAGCCCCCAACCAGTTTTCAACATGGTCATTTACTTATACAAATGGTGCAATGTGTTTGCCATGCGTGCAGTTGGCAAATGCTGTAGTTGTTAGAGAGGTGTCTCCATGTGCCAATCATAAATATAACTCCCTCATTGCTGGAGAGATCTCTGCTGATAGGCAGCCTGCTTGTGTGTCTCTGCAAAACAGCATGTCAATGTGGCCCTGGTAGCCTTTGGCTCTGACTGAAGTGCCAATGCATTAATAGATGTGGCACGAGAAGTCTTGCTGTGACTAAGTGAGTGAGCACTAGACAGCAAGTGAGCAGTGTGGGATTTGCCTGGTCCAATCTGTGAGCTGTCTGTGGGAAGTGTCTTTGCAGCAGCCTTTCAATACTTGTTGCCAGTGCACTCTACACTCTAAACAGCATGCAAGTGGATTGGAAAGATGCCATTGTGGTTGTGAGGGGTCAAGAATACCTGATATCAAAGTCCTTGGTCAAGGGGTGTGTGCAGCTGGTGCCCATGGATGGTACCTGAGATGCTGTTGGTACTAAGCAACATGGAAAACCCAATGGTGAACTGTAATCTTCAGGCACCCATTCTGACTTCCATGTTGAGAAATCTTGACGAATGCTTGCTCACCATGTTTGATAAGATGGGAAGGTGGAACAAATGAGGTGAGTTATGGTATTAACAAAGTGTTTAATAATCTGTAAGCCCCCTTAATCGACAACCCACCACTACCAAGCAAGAAACTCACCTTACTGCTCAGCAAAAGCCTAAAAGATTCAGTGAGTTGCTTCCAACCTCAAGCCGGGCCTCACCATACCTGCCATCTGAATCTGCCACAACACTCATCATAGCCCATGTTACTCTGGTCCCTGTAAGAGTCTGTCTATTTTTTTTGATCAAGTTTCACAGATTAAGCTTATTAGCAAAACTAAAACCCATGAGGTAAAAAAGGCAATAGCAGATTGGATATAAAACTGACTAAACAATAGACAATGGAAAATTGTGGTGATTGACTACTTTTTGGACTGGAAAATATATATATTGATATTTGCCACAGTTCAGTGCCATGATAGGGACTGATTAGGAATAGTCAGCATGGTGTTATGCATGGGAAATCATGTCTCACTAACTTGCTTAAGCTTTTTGAAGCGGTGACATAGAAGATTGATGGAGGCAGAGCAGTAGGTGTTGCCTATATGTACTTCAGTAAAGCGTTCGACAAGGTTCTACATGGTAGACTGGTTAGCAAGGTTTGTTCACATGAGATCCAGGGGCGTAAGCCAATTGGATACAATACTGGTTTGAAAGTAGAAGGTGGTAATGAAGGGATATTTTTCAGACTGGAGGTCTGTGACGAGTTGTGTGTCACAAGGAACAGTACTGGGTCCACTGCTTTTTGTAATTTTTATAAATAATTTGAACGTGAGTATAGGAGGCATCATTACTAAGTTTGCAGATGACACCAAAATAGGTGATGTGGTGGGCAATGAAGAAGATTATTTCAAATTACAACAGGACCTTGATCTGGTGGGCCAGTGGGTCGAGGAGTGGCAGTTGGAGTTTAATTTAGATAAACATCACATGTTGCATTTTGGTCAGGCAAACCAGGGCAGGACTTATA